ACGAAAACCTATAGTTCCATAATTAAGCACTAAATTAAGATATCGAACTGTAATATGGTACAGGGGATCAAGGTAACAAGGGACACCAAGTGACAGAAATTTTTTTTTTTAAAGTGGGAGTAGCCCCGCTCCCTAAGTGGTTTAATGTACAAATCATCCAAGCCGCTGAAGCTAATTCAACCAAATTTTCTAGGAGGAAGTATTTTTAGCACTTTTTCATACGCTGTGAAAATGGCAACAAGCTTTATCTTTCACAACTAGCATGGGAGCGAAGGGCTTATAGGACCCGGTGTAAAAATTGAACAATGAAACATTTCTCTCAGATACAAGGCGAAATCAGATGATAAATCACGCCGACTTCCCGTATAACATAACTTTAATTCCATCTGATTCTTTCACTTTCTAATATACAAATACTTGTAAAACATCAATGCAGTTAGCAGAGTAAAATTTGCACAAATAGTACCCAAGATGTTTAATCATATGTCCTAAAATTGTCAAAATCGGACTATAACTTTTCAATATAATAATAATATAAATACTTTCGAACTTCCGGTTGACTTTATATCGCATCTATGGTATAGGTCAATATGTAAAAAATCTTCATGAAATTTGGAAAGAATGTTTTTCTAACAATAGTGTATATTCTGATTGTTACTTATGAATGCAATACTTCCTACTTTTAATTAAAATATATTCGAAAACCTTAAGTTGTCCTTTCTTACTTATTAATAAATATTTCTTTTTAAATTTACTATTTATAATGAATCGATCAATTTTTTAAGCTCGATAATGAAAATTACAAGGGAGTAGGTTGATATTTTTCGTTTTTCTGTCATCCAAAAATTGGAACATTTTTATAAAATGTAATGGGGCACTTATATAATGTTGCCATATAATGAGGGAACATTTTAATCTTGAAAAGAAAATGCTATAAGTGAACTGGAGTGTATATATTATATTATTATATATTTATATACACTAGTTGGTACACACAAATATAATATATGATTTAACCGCTTGCAAAGAGTATTTAAAATTATTTTAAATTATACATTTGAATAATATAATTATTTTTATAGTTTTAGAATTGTGGAAAGTTGTTAATTCAACAAAGTCTTTGGTCATAAATGGAAAAGTATTCTCTGCAGACCACTCAGACTGCATTGCTTAATATGGAACCACTCTGGATCACAAATTATAGGCGGAACAGGGTTGGGGTGCTTATATGTTCTCTCTGTGCCGGATTTAAAAGTAGTAAGAAAGGTTCGGCGTCACAAGTTGCCGATTAACAGAATAATGTGTCACCGAATATGAGATACATTCA